AATCAAGATCCTCGCCAGTCCCACTGATCACTCAAGATCGATGAGACCTGACCCATCTCGTCTATCGTATCAACAAGAATCAAGACATGCACAGCTCGCCACTTGACCCGTTATTGGAACTCTGCACCGAAAGGAACGCATTTTAGAGTTCACGGTATCGCAACTTCCTGTGCCGTGAGGGCGAACATCACTCTCCAACCCCGGGAACGAGTGGGGACCGGTCATTCGGAGCACCTCCAACGGTTTATCGACAAGGGTTGTTGGGGCATGGGCAGACAAGGGCACCGAGTCATGCCTTCCGAGACCCTGCGTGTGATTACCGGTTCTCGTTGCGCCGAGGAGCCCTCAATGCATGGGAGAACCTGGAGGAATATCACTCACGGAAGATTCTCCCCTGCGGCAGTGCCCGGGCGTTTTTGCGTGCTATCCTGTTTTATGGTGATAACGGCGGCCATAGTAACCCAACTGCTACCTAGTAGGTGCCAGATGCCACGCCAGCGTGAGATAGAGAGGGAAGGGTCTGTTCCGTGGATGAACCAAAGGTGACAATCTGCTGCGAGCAGTATGCGACACAACACTCCTTTGCTATCGCCATGATCAGGACCGAGATCGAGACACCTTTCGACACATATTTCACCGTGATCCCCGCGGCCGGTTTATGGCACCGTGTCCACATTTTAAGCAACGACGAACACGACTCTCTCAGCGCCGACCGAACTCAGCAAGCTCGCCTTTTGGTCATTGACCCACGGGCGCAAATTTGCCCAAGTTGCCCGTAATGGTGACAATGAACCACGACTACACCAAGGGCCAGATGATCGGTCTGGCCGTTGGGTTCATGATCATTCCGACCATATTCTATGTGCTTCGAATATGGGCGAAGCTGCTTGTCAAGCGATTTGCGTGGGATGACTACCTCGCGGGGTTTGCGCTGGTTCGCTTTTGCCTTCCGTCTGTCTGCCGGTCGGGGTGCTGACAGATCCTGCAGCTGGTTTCCATCACCTGCTGTACTTTGCAATTGGCTAGTAGGTTTTACCTTCACATTGACTTTGATCATCTGAGGCTAATCATCTGAACAGCCGCGATCCATGGACACTTGGGCCAACACCAACCTACGTTTCCTGACGGGTCGCCGATCATGGACGATCCAGGGTTGATCTTCTTCGAGGAGGTGAGCATAACCTTAAACTTTCGTCTCGTTCTTGGCTCCTGCTAACAAGCTTTATGTCGACGTAGACCAAGTTTGCACTGAATATGATATCCATTTTGGGCTTGGGCCTAGTCAAGTCGTCCATCTTGGTGCTGTACCGGAGCCTCTTCCCAAGTCGCAGGTTTCACTACGTTGTGTATGCCGCGCTTGCTTTCGTCATCGGCTGGACGGTCAGCTTCTTCTTCTCTCATTTGTTCACATGCTACCCCATCACCGTCTTCATCGAGCCATACTATGGCAACTCTTGCGTGCAGACGGTGCCAATGTTTCTGGCGCTGCTGTTCACCGACGTGGTGGCTGACTTCGCGATCCTTATACTTCCAATCCCGATGGTCATAAGGGTAAGGATGCCGCTAAAGAAGAAGTTGGCTGTAATCGGGATGCTCGGGTTGGGCGCTGCGTAAGTCTGCAAAAGTAACCTCGACACCCAAGGGACGTAGCTGATTAGACTTGAAGGGTCTGCGCGGTAAGCGTTACAAGAGTGATTGCTACTTTTGCCATTGCAGAAGAGTACATCAAACATCCGAACGACGTTATTTGTAAGTGTCGCGACAGCTGACCTCTTACGGAATTTGCATTGACTTCATCTTTAGATTACACAGCGCCTGTATTCTTCTGGACAAACATTGAGCTTTCTTTAGCGATTGTATGCGCCTGTCTCCCGACTCTTCGACCAATCTGGTTACACTTCTTCCCGAAACCTGCGGCAACAGGCAGCAATTCGTACGAATATGGATCATCGAAACGCTATGGCGCCCGAAAGAGCAGTCTCAGAACACCGCCTTACGAGGAGTTGGACGAACTTGAGTTGACCCGACATGATGGTTTGACCCGGTCAGGATCAATCAGAGAAAACGACATTGTGAGGGAGACAACCATACACCAGACGATCGAGCCGTCGGACAATTCCAGCACGGCGAACTTGAGACCGAATGGGCTTGGGTTATAATGGGAATACTAAGGAATATGGACGGAGGCGTTACTGGATTTGGGGGCTGGACGGATAAGCGGAACTTTACTTCACAGGAAACAGTTACCAACAGGAATTGAGCGACATCGACAGGGCTGGGTTGCAAGATCTTGGCCGTTTTCGACTTGAGTACCATTTATAATTATTCCTAGTGGGCTGCGCCCAGCAGTAAGCAGTATTACGAATCCCTCAAGGGTCCGGGGCCGCGAATGATTTCATTTGATCCCGCGGTGTGCGCAGGGTGTAGGTATCAGGTCTAACCTAATCAAGGAAGAGTCACTTTTTTCACCGTTCAGGGTTGCAGCGCCGTGAACAGAAGTTTCAATTGCGGGGTATATAATCGTGGTCGTTCATGCATTCACTGTCGATTTATCCTGTCTTTCCTGTCAGTGATGATGACTGGCCGAGATACTCGCTTTCTCACAATTATTCGATCGGTGGTCGCGTCACTGACCCGCTGATGATCTGCTTCAGCGGTCGAAATAACCTCAGTATCCGCTCTTTGGGGGAGGGGCAGTGGAGAGTGCCCTATTGAGTCAGGGAAGCGGGCGATTCTGCAACACGATGTGCAATCGTGAGTTGAACATCAGAAATCCCGCACAGCCAGGTCGAACCCAGCTCCGAGCTCCACATGTGGCGCGGAGGGCTTCCAACACGACCCTGCTCTGGTGGAATTTGCAATCTCGGGGACGTAGGAATGGACGGCTGCGTTGGTGTCTTGAAGGCTGGCAAGACTTCGTCGTACGATTGGAATATTCGGACTACGCCCCGTCCGCTAAGGTCCGTTTGCCCCGAGATGCTACTGTGCCACTGAAGATGGGGAAGATCCCCTATCCCTGCCCTTGCCAAGGCATCTGTACTATCCAGTATTCTTCACGGAAGGGCCAACGCATTCGGCAATTCATATTCTTCAACGGCGCTGCTTAAACAAGGTAGGTCATCAAAGGGGCTTCTGGAAAGATCACAGCATGTCACGCAGACGCGTGCCGACGCCCGCTCACAGACCCTTAAGATCCCAAACTTGTCCGTTCGAATGCACGAGCTCCTTGGCTGTCACTGTTTCTCGTTGACGATCACTCGCCGTTGTAACCCCGGTCACACTCTGTTTTCTCGTTCACCATGCGGCTTCTACTCGTCGGTGTGCAGTTCCTGACCATGGTAGCATCTGCTGCCGTCGATGTCAGTGCTCGATCCGTGGCCGATGATTTGCTCAGTCTCGTCTCGACTTCATCTGTTGGCGTCCAGGTGAGGGCGAGATGGAGTGACTTTGATCTGCCCACGCCATCTGTCATTGTCAATGCCACCTCTGAGAAGGATCTTAGCGCTGTCGTATGTCACTCGCCCCTGACTATCATCTGAGACTAGTAGCCATGCTCATGGATCGTCCTCTGACAGGTCAAATACTGCGCCGAAAACAACATCCCCTTCCTCCCTCAAAACGGCGGCAATGGCTGGGCGACTGGCCAGTTCAACCTGGGCAGTACCGGTGTTCTCATCAACCTCGCCGGCTTGAACCAGGTCAACATCAGCTCTGACAAGAAGACGGCCACGATCGGAGGTGGTGCCCTCATCGGTGACGTGATCACTGCTGCGGATGCCGCTGGAGTCCTCGTCCAGACGGGAAACTGTAACTGTGTCGGAGCTCTGGGGGCCGCTCTTGGTGGTGGCTATGGAAACATTATGGGAGAACATGGCTTCGCCGTCGACAATATTCTCTCTATGAGGGTGATCACCGCCAGCGGAGAAGCTCTGACCGCCTCAAGCACATCCAACCCTGACGTTTACTGGGCTCTCCGAGGAGCTGCGCCGAACTTTGGCATCGTCACTTCTGCGACCGTCAACGCATTCCCGACGACGAACCGTACTTCGTGGATCATGTCACTTACCTTCGACCCTGCCAAGATCGCTGACGTCGCCCAAACGATCCAGGACCTTCCCCTTCTACCGCAGCAGGTCGTCTACTTGGTCCTCACGAACTCCGGCGACGCTTCCAACTCTCCCATGGTTCTCGTTACCGGATTCCTCCGCGAGGGCACCGAGGAGCAGGGTCTCAAAGCCTTTGCGCCTCTGTACAACCTCGGTCCCTCGACCAACTCCAGCGCAGTGACGCCCTACACCAGCTGGAACGCTGCGAACGACAACTTCTGTGCCCGCGGGGGCCGCAAGCCGGCGTTCAGCACGACGATCAACAACATGAAGGCGGAGACATGGCCCGAGATCTGGTCCCTGTACACCGGCTTCCAGAACCAGTCGACCGCTCAGAACTCTGCTGTTCTGATCGAGCGCTACAACCTGACTACTGCCAAGTCAAAGCCCGCGGGCTCCGCAGCCATGCAAGACGAACTCCGCCAGGAGGCATTCGCGCAGGCAATTGTTATCCCTTGGTATGAGGATGCCACTCTGGACTCTGTGGCAGAGACCTTTGGCTCGAAGGTCAGGGACATCTGGAGCTTCTCCTCCAGTGCTGTTGTGAACCCTACGTAAGTTGAAATGCTGTATGTGAGATTCTGACTTTTTGCTGACGAAAGATTGCGTAGTTACATCAACTTTGCCCACGGTGATGAGGAATTGGAGGCGATCTACGGATCCAGCTTGGACAGACTGAAAACTCTCAAGACGAAGTACGACCCTTCAGGAGTCTTTGGTCAATGGTTCAAGATCCAGTGAGGCATGCGACTAGTCGAGGTACTTCAATACTAGACAGCTAGTAGTCCTAAGAAGCCATGGCCTTGTCACGAATATACGCAGTTATGGTTTGCAGGCTCCCCGAATATTCAATTCGCTATCTGGAGATATTTCTCACGCAAAGATGATTTACTGTCATTGGGGCTGTCCTGTCATTTGACCATGAATCATCATCCTCGCGGTGCCCAAGTCAATCTCTTTAAGGGTGACAAACTTGGTCTTCTTTACAACTTTCCAGCCCACAGCCAAAATGATGAACAGCAAAACGACGACATAGTTCTGGAAGAATGCTTCCACATCCCACGGAGCAAAAGACGTCCAACCCTGGAAGAAGATAAAGAATACGTTGCCAGCAAGGCCCAGGTAGGCGCAGAATCGCCAGGCGGGTGCTTGAAAGGGCAAAACATCGGCGCTAATGTTCTGCGCAGCGAGGGCCATTCTCAGACGGATATGATTGAGAGAAATCAGACCCCCTTTGGTCCACGAATATTAGCGATGAACGTAGGATGGGAATCGTAGGTGGCTTACATGTGATGAAAGTCGCGACACCAGTGATGGAAATGATCCAGGTGTAGACTACCCCTGCTCCAGACGACAGGTTGAGAAGAGATAAGAAGCCGATGAGATTCATGACGACCAGGGACACGACTGGCACACCGTTTTTGTTCGTCCACGCGAAAATCTTAGGGGCTTGCCCTTCCTGAGCGAGACCGTAAAGCGTACGCGAACCGACGTAGAGCGCTGCATTGATGGCGGAGAACATTGTGACGAGGATGATCGCGTTGACAACATGCGCCCCAGCATTTGCGCCCACTCTCGTAAAGGCGATGACGAAGGGCGACCTGGCCGTCTTGCTTGTTGCAGACAGCAGGTTCGGGTCATTATATGGCACGGTGATGGTAAGAAAGAATATGCCCAGCAGAAAGATGCCGCAGATGCGCCAGAGTACGGATTTGACGGCCTTGGGCACGTCGCGCGCTGGGTTGGCCGACTCTCCCGCTGTGAGTCCGATCATTTCGGTGCCGCTGTACTGCAGCGCTGCAAAGACGAAGACTTTGAAGACGCCTTTAGCGCCGTCGGCGAACGCGCCGGGGTCATGGTAGAACTTGAACCCAATCTTCTCGCCGCCGAGGACGCCAGATGTTATGAGGATCGCGCAGAGAAAGAAGGCGAAGATGGCGAGGATTTTGACGAGGGCCAGCCAGAACTCTGCTTCGCCGAAGGATTTGACGCCGAGGAGGGTGAAGGCGAGGAAGAACCACCTGCGAGGAGCTGCTGTTAGCGTAATGAATCCGGCAGCTTACAGGGGAAGATTACCAGAAGATCAAGATCCACCCCCATCTCGGAACAGCTGTCTCCCAGTAAGTCAAGACGAGGCCCAAGTTGTCTGCGTTGAAGATCAGCTTTGGCATATCAGATGCGACGGATGCACGTCATACTGTATTCCGCAATGATAATTCCAGCCCAAAGAAGCCAGTAATTCCAGCCGAGCGCGAAACCAACGGCTGGGTCAACGAAGGTGGAGGTGTAATGCGTGAAAGAACCTAGGTACCGTGACAAGCTATCAGCAACTCAATGTTCATCGAAAGCGGACGGTGCAACAAACCTGACAGCGGTATGAAAGCACCGAGCTCGCCTAGAGACTGCATAACAGCCCAGAGCAGCACGCCGACAACCGTGAAGCAGAGCAGTAGACCCGCTGGTCCGGCGCTCGTCAGACCCGTGCCCATCCCTACAAAGTACCCAGGCCCAATAACACCGCCAATAGCGAGCATCATCTGCACCAACAGAACCGAGTTAGCCCACAACAATCGCTGGGAAACACTGGGTCGTTAGCGATTCAACGCACCAAGTGGCGGCCTGATAGCCCTCTATGCAGGCCGGGTCCGCCGCCCGTAGTAGTCGCAGTCTCCCCATCGTGGGCAGTCGATGTTTGCTTCAACGCATTGTCGTCTTTTGACTCAGCTTTCAAGTCCGCCATTTTCAATCGTTCGATATTATGAAAAAGTCTTCCGACCAAGGGAAACCATAGTAGACATCTTGGAGCTGGGTCAGGTCTTCAGTGTATATACAATGTCGAAGGAGACTGTGGTGGCTAACAAAAGATACTTTGGGCCGAGTCAACAGTGAGGCCGTGCTGTCTTACGAGCTGAAGTTGGGGCGGATAAGAGGCCGGATGGGGTGGGCTAGCGCCAGCCATTTGGGCCGAGTCATATCTCAGAACCGCGGGGTTGGATGGGTTGAGGCCGGCAGATCCCTGATTCCGCGGGTGTCTGCTGACGTTGTTCACGACATGTCATTGATATGCAAGTTGATCTTGGCTTATCACAAGCGATATTCGAATTGTATAACATGGACACTTGTTATCTCTTGTTGTTGCAAATCCGACACAATCACCGTCAATTTCGTATCGTCTCCGCTACTCTGAGCTGAGTCAATTGGACTTTGCCGAGCGACTGAACAACGGCTTCGATGGCAACGCCAGGCTTGCACCCGAATCATGGCAAAAGACCAATTCTGGTTGTCCTTGTTTTGTTACGCAGGGAAGACCGATCGCCTAGGCCATTTGAAGTGTCCTCTTCGACTCGTTCATGTCTCGGCAGCAACCTGTGTGACGACAGCACCTCGGGCTGGGTCGAACGTTGCATTGACGTGGGCGACGTCTTTAGAAACATCACTTCACGGAACATTCAGGCATCAGGAGTGATGGTCCAGACAGGAAACCTGACAGGCTGTATTGACTATGTACAAGAAAGTATCATGTATATCTTGACTAGATCAGGCAAAAGAACCTCTTCCCCGCGCAGCTGACCTCGACTGTGTTTTCATTGACTGTGCTTCAGCTTGTTGTTCAAACTGTCTAAGTGCATTGGACTCCTGTTGATGATGGTGGTGATGATGATGATGGTGATGATGGTGGTAGTGGTGATGATGATGCACGACTTGCTGTTGCTGTGGCGCAGCAGGGTATCTGAATATGTCTGCTGGGAGACTTTGGTCGAAATCATCGGCGAAGAGCTCGAAATATTGGTTTGGTGAGGGTATCGTCAAATGATTATGGGATAAGGAATGTGAAGTTGTCACGGTATTGTAGTCAATCGCGTTCACACTCGAGTTTGATGACTGTGGAGGCCGCGTAGGTCTTGGTCTGGATGCTGTTCCTCGAGGTCCGAGTTGTCGACCAGCAAGCGGCACTTCCGGGGCAGTGTCCCATCCTGATCTCGGTGGTGTCGAAGCGCAGTCAGAGCTGTCGGACGACACGCCTTGATATGATTGGCGTTGGGTTGCTTCGGTGTCCTCAATGACGCCTAGGGTACTGGCATCATTGTCCTCTGTAATGTGAGACTGCGTGGAAATCTCTGGAAAGTGTCCGGGATCTGACACAAAGTTCATGGCATCATCTGCCAAACTTGTATTGGTGTCGATCATGCCCGAACTAAGGTTGCCGAGATCGAGTTGATTAGGCATTTCTGCATCGATTGCAGCTGATGGTGTAGCCAGGTCCTGGGTCTCGGGTGAGATACCATTCTCACTTGCTGACATTTGGCAAGCTGTTGACGACGGCGTGCTAGTTGAAGGCGAGCCCTTGGAGTGTCTGGATAGTGCCCTCCACCTGTTGCGACATGTAAGGGGAGGGCGGCCGGGTAGCTTAGCCGATATTGCGGACCAGCGGTGACCCAGTGTCTGGACGCCTTCTCTAAGGATATCGTCTTCCAAGGGACTCCAGTGACTCAGACGGTCTTTCGCCTGAGGATTGAGAATGTCGTTGTATCTCTTTGCACACTGGTCGTCTTTCCTTCCAGGTATGAGAACAGCTAGATGAAAATGATGTTAGACGGGGCCAGACGATGACCAGCCAAAGATGACTGCTGCTTACCGATATCATGCCAGGCGGGACCTAGACGGTTGTATGCTGACAACAAGACCTGATCCTCTTGTGGTGTCCATCTGCCTTTCCTTAATGACGGATCAAGTGAGTGGAACCAGCGTTTGCGACAGTCCTTCATGAGTGGTTAGCCCTCAAAGACTGGTCTCAGGCTACATGTTCCTGCTGGGGTAAAAGGTCCTCACCTTGGCAGTGCGATCTTGCAGGCCTGCGGCAATGTCCTTCCACCTGCTCTGCGGGCCCCTTGCGTCACCGTAATGGGATACAAGGGCTTTCAGTATTGCGTCCTCGGCCGGTGTCCAGATCCTCCGCGGCCGAGTAGCAGCATTGGCAGCTTCGGAACGGGGAGAAGAGTCCTCGAGCGACATGGGGGCGGGCGAAAGGGGGAATCGTCAGTATATGTGACAGACCGACCTTGGTCGACGAGATCAAGGGCAGCACCGGCGGCTTTGAGTCTCCCGTGATTGACCAGACTCGCCAACGCGTTCTCTAACAGTGTCGCCTCCATGTCTTCGCCTATCTTCGGAGACAGAGTCCCCTTTTTTCCCGCCTTGCAGCTTATCTCTGGCCACCCCGCAGTTTCTTTCGGGGGTTCCCCGCATTCTGTGTGGAGATGTGACTCGGCCCAGTCCCGACAGGGATTCATCATGATTGGTGAGACCGGACGGCACTAGCGGCACCACTTGACCCGGCCGGGGGAGGCCGTGTCATGCCGATCCGGACGGGCGACCGAGTCCTAGTTGACTCGGCTTCGGCGTGCGTCTCAGGATATAAGCAGATATCCGGTGAAGTCATGAGGTTGCCACTTATGTGCCCTCTTCATCTTTCTCTCGTCCTCGTCCTCTTTTGTCTTCAGTCGAGGTTCCAACACCATGTCTTCTTCAGAGTATCTTCATCCCCTTGACCCGGCCACGGCCGAGGAAATCCAAATCGCCACAGACCTCGTCAAGAACCTATTCTATGGCATCCCTCTTCACTTCAAGGCCGCGGGTCTCGATGAGCCTCCCAAGCAGGAGATGGTCACGTACCTCAAGGCAGAGCATGCAGGAGAGCCTCTACCAGAAATCCCTCGTCGCATCTTTGCGATCTGGTACATCAAGCGATCTCCTCGGCTATTCGAGGGTGTGATCGATGTCACCAACAAGCGAGTTATTCAGCATGAGGAGCTTTCACGAGACTTCCATGGACCCGTCGATCGTGTCGAGCTCAATGAGGCGGCCCAAGTGGTGATGGCCAATGCCGACGTGCACAAGGAACTCGCAAGGTTGAAGATTGACAAAGCGAATGTTGTCCTTGACCCATGGGACTATGGCGTTGATGGCTTCGACACACAAGAGCGCATGACACAAGTAATGATACACCTTGCCTCTGCATAGGACATTCTCTAACGCATTGCAGGTTTTCATGTACATGAAGAACCCAAAGAACAATGATGTGGACTCCTCACACTATTCCTTCCCTCTCGACTTCATGGTAATTGTGGATCTATGCACCATGAAGGTGAAGAAGATCATCCGGCTGCCATTAGGTTCGGACGAGAGCACAACAGAAGGCATGGACGACATCGCACATCGCGAGACAGACCCCGCCGAGCCCGAGTACGACCATCGTCTTCAGAAGAACCCTCCTCGGACATCTATGAAGCCATACAACGTTGTCCAGCCCGAGGGAGCCTCGTTCACCGTGAAGGGTCACCTCATCGAATGGGAGAAATGGCGTTTCCGTGTCGGCTTCAACTGGCGCGAAGGTTAGTTCATCAATGACCTTCATCAAGCTCTCGATCTGACCAGTCAAAGGCTTGACCTTGCACGATCTACACTTTATGGACCGTAGCACTTTTTACCGTCTCTCCCTTTCCGAGATGTTCGTACCCTACGGAGACCCTCGAAGCCCCATCTATCGCAAGGGTGCCTTCGATCTTGGCAACGTTGGTGCCGGTGTAACTGCAAACAATCTTCAGCGTAAGCCTTTTCTGTCAACTCTCAATAAGAATTGCTAACACAACGTAGTTGGATGCGATTGCCTCGGTACTATCAAGTACATCAGCGGCTGCGTTGTTTCAGCCGACGGAAGCCCAGCTCCTCGGCCAAATGCCATTTGCATCCATGAAATCGACAACGGCATTCAATGGAAGCACACTAACCACCGAACCGGCAAGGCTACTGTGGTTCGAAAGAGGCAGCTTGTTCTCCAGCAGATCATTACCGTCGCGAACTATGAGTACATCTTTGCTTGGATTTTGGATCAGTCAGGCGAGATCTCCTTCGAGACCAGGGCTACCGGTATCCTGTCCACGCAACCCATCGACAAGGACTCCAAGGTTCCTTGGGGAACCCGTGTTGCCGATGGTGTGATGGCTCCATACCACCAGCATCTGTTCAACGTGCGCATCGATCCCGCTGTCGACGGCCACCAGAACACCTTCACGTACACCGACTCGGTAGCCATGCCGTGGGATGAGAAGCTCAATCCACTTGGCACGGGCTACGTCAGCAAGGAGACTCCCGTCATCCGCGCTGGACCAGTCGAAGACAGTCTGAAGGACGGCCGCGTCTTCAAGATTGTCAACGAAAACATACAGAACCCCGTCTCGTTGACTCCAGTGGGCTACAAGCTCGTCCCCATCCGATCACAAATGCTTCTTGCCCAGCCTGGCTCGTGGCACTGGCGTCGCTCTGAGTTCTGCGAGGCGCCCATCTGGGTGACCAAGTACAAGGACCGCCAGCTGTTTCCGGCGGGCGACTACACCAACCAAGGTCTCGGCGGAACCGGCATCAAGTCGTGGACGAAGACGAGGGATCACATCCCCAACGATGACATTGTCATTTGGCACACATTCGGCTTCACGCACAACCCTCGCGTGGAAGACTTCCCCATCATGCCTGCCGAGATTGCGCAGTTTCATCTGAAGCCTTACAACTTTTGCAACTACAACCCTACCAATGATGTGCCGCCTTCCAACCAGGCTTTCAACAAGAGCACGCTGTTTGAAGAAGCGGGGAAGGAGGAACAGAAAGGTTCATGCTGTGGTGCGGATACACCTGCCGGCTCGACATCTAGCAAAGGAGAAGGAGAAAGCCCGTTTGTGAAGGTGGCGCTACCGGACAATACCAAGTCTTGAATCATCATTTCATCATTGACTCGGGGAACAGGTCTAGGCATACATAGGGACTCTGCTGCGAATAGTAGAACTTTTGCAGCACAGTGTTAATGTTCATCTCAAGTATCTTTTACTGATATTCAGTCCTTGTACAGGGCATTTATCGTTGTAAAGGCCTATGAAGAACTTGAAAACGAGATTGAGACATGATGCCACGACAGATGCTGTGCCAATGTGCAGGCTAGTTGCTGCTTAATTACTTTCGGCTAATTATCCGAGTATTACCTGTGACGACGTCAGTCAGCCCATGTCAAACTTCCTTCCAATATAGTCAAATAGGGTGGTTCTCTCAGCGAAACTCCTTGGGAGTAACGTCATGACAAGACTTTTGAAATAAAGCATTGGGGTGTTGCTTGTTTTCACTGTAGCACATTGTGATTGCACAACTTACCTAGTCAGGGATGTACTACCTGAATACACGTGGCCTTAGATTCAATAGCACACCTCCAGAATCTAGTGATGCGATGCAGACAGTGGGAATGGTTTTTACTCTATCATCTACACGTGAGAATATAAGTGCTTTTTGCTAATGAGTTTGTGTTAATCATGCAATTCTTTTCCAAGCATAAAGTTCTAGCGCAATCACCTCCTCTCTCTTCGAAAGAAATCGCCATAATCCCTACCCCGATCAACTACGATTACTGGAACTTACTCGAAGCAATTTGCATTTCTTCAGCCCTCCTAGCTACCTTCGTCAATACTCTTCCTACAAGGTGACTCAAACACGCGTCCCTTACACATTCCAAGAGTGGTGCGACGAGTGTGCTAACGGCAGTGACCGCAATACTCTGAAAAATCACATCAGGGCCTTCCGCAAGATCCAAGCTCTGGTGCGGACGATGGAAACTCTTTCTTCGCTATAGCCGGATACCACGGAGAGCTTTTCGTTCAGGGGTATCCTGATGCACAGGCCAGTCAAGTCTGGTGGAGCGGCTATTGCCAACATAGTACGGTGTTCTTTCCAACCTGGCACCGAGCCTATCTCCTCTGGCTGGAGGATCTAACTCTTAGCGGTACTCCAAGCATGCCAGCTACCAAATAGTCCGCTACTCGCAGTCCGGTCAGGTCGGCAACAACGCGGATAGAGAAGACGCCCTGTCTCACAACGAAAAATTCACCGATCCTGAAGAGAATATCGAAGATCACAACATTCATGTCCGTGCATGGCTGGATGGAACCATTGTCATCGACGTCAGTGGAGGGCAGACGAACATTCAAATCACAACCTCGGCGTCAGATTGGTCTGGCGGCGAAAGACAACACAATCTTTTTTTGATAAGGCGTACAACCAGGCTCAAATCAACTTCCTTGAAACATGAGGAGGGAATCAAGACCTCCAGTGTGTCTTCCGAGGACGGACACAATGGCATGCATGTCGCTGTTGGCGGCTTCTTCCAGGGAAGCGAGTACAAAGCCGATCCCATCCACGGCACAAACGGATACATAGGCGTAAACGAGACTGCTAGCTATGATCCCATCTTCTAATCCATCACTTTTTCATTAACTAACTGTTCTGGACTTGGCAGTAAGCTCACAACTTGACCGCTGAGGGAAGTCTGACAAGCTTCTCGGTCTCGACGAGAACAACGAAACCGGAGACGAAACCGAAAATGGACTGCACAGCCTCAGCGGTCCCAACGGTCCTCATACCAAAGCCCCGAGCCTCGAAGCCCCTATCGAGCCGTTCCAGGGCCCCTATGGACCCTCCTGCACCTGGTGCACGATTGCGAACATCACTAAGTTGAGTTGCACCTACGGCTCAAGATCTTGCGACATACAGAGGTCGCCGCCTGGACAATCTACACCCGTTCCAGACACTGAAGAGGATATGTTCATCTGTGGCTCGTTTGACTCCAATAGACCGCGCCGACTACAAGGCCTCTTTCGTAGTCCATCTCTGTGGTATGATGGACGGCAAAATTCACGAATGATGAGTTTTGCCACTTTGGAAAGTGAACCTCTGATAAAGGGCAGACAGAGGAAGCCAAGACGGACAGATTTCGACCTGGGTGCTGCTCGGTCTGTGTGTGATTGGCCGCCTCATTGTCTTGCACTCCCGTCCATTTGGGCTGACCCGATTGGGCTACTCCGTCTCACTTGTTTTTCTTTTTCTATTTGTACCTCAGACGTACGCCTTATTTCATCCACGTGTCCAGAATTGATTTCATCGGCCGCTTACCCCGCATGTTCTCGACGAGAGAAAATCTTTTCTTCACCTCCCTAACCAACTCGCTGCGCATCGTAACATCATTGTCGGTGAGGATTAACCTACCTACGAGCCCCATTCGAGAGACACAGGAAACAACCATCCGCAAATACGCCAGGCGGACAAATCCTGCCGCTCGCTCAAAATGAGCCGATGGCATCGAGAATCTTGCTCGACCCCGATGATTATCATCAAACAGCGACTGCCGACCTGCGAATCCTGTAATTCTTCTCCAGACTTGGATGCAATTGTTTCGGCGCAGTCAGCACAGAGGCTTGCTCCCTCAGTAGTTCCTCCCGACGAGCCTTCTGGTCAGCTCAATTTGTGGTGGCCGCCATGCGTGCCATACGTATCAAAGACGCCTGCCACAGAAGTGATTGGGGACGGATCTTCCTCAGGCTCTGCACCGAAGGCAGATTCCCTAGCCAGCGGCTTGCATAAATCCCAGTACGCTTCCTGCGATCATGTCTATTCGTCGCAGATGCAAGAGAGTCAGTTGCGCTTGGTACGCCTTGCCTCCGTGGATGATGTCGATGCTCCTGTTCACGTCAACTTGGAGATTCACGACGATGAAAGACACCCCGATTACGAAACCGTCTCTTACACCTGGGGTGGAGAAAATGGAGATAGCACACTTTGTCGACCAGTTTACGTGGGCAAGTACTGGGATGTTCTCTTTCAAACCCAAAACTGCTGGGAGATGCTACGATACCTTCGGCCGCGCAGAGATCTACGAACCCTCTGGGTTGATGCCATTTGTATTAACCAACGGGACTTTAGCGAACGAGAAAAACAGGTCGCAAAGATGGGACTGATCTTTGAAGGTGCTATGCGGACAGTTGTATATCTGGGTCCAGATTTGGTTTTTCCAACATCGATATCTTCACCATACCCTCGGCGTCATTACCTACAGCAGTTAGACATACTGCCAATGAGTCCCAGTCTTCCTCACACACATCTGAGGCTCTCTGAACGCGTGACTTTAGCTACCTTGCTAGAGAGGGAATACTTCCAGAGGATTTGGGTCATACAAGAGCTCCTTCTCTCGCGCGACATTACGTTCGGGGTCGGCGACGTGGAATTCACCATTAAGCACCCACCTACTATAAAGCTGTGGCCCAGCGAGTCTTTCAAGAGCAGCGGAGTCCTATGGCTCGAACATATCACACAAGGAATCATCTACGAAGCAGGAGAGAACGTTGTACTTTCTGCGGTGGATCTTGCGTCAGATTCAAAGTCTACTGATCCTCGTGATAAGATATTCGGCGTTTTGGGCATGATTCAAAACACATCAAGACTCGCACCTTCTTATTCGATATCTTTTCGGCACCTTGTGCTTGGTTATTTTGCGTACTGCCTTGTTTTGCAAAAGGACTTGCGGGTCATTGGACATGCCGCTGGACGTCAAGCATCCGCAAATATGCCTTCATGGGCCCCCTCTGCCTACGTGTCCGGGACTAAGGCACCCGCTATACCGCGCTTAGGAGTTGACAAACTACTGTCGATGCTTGGTTCCGATGAATTTGCCGCGGCCTTCAAAAGACATCATTGTGCTCAGAGTTCAACGAGCAGACGCGACCCAACACGAAGTTGGGAAAATTTCGAGCGATGGGCGCCAAATAATAAACGCCAAGCCTGTTGGAAAGTGCAGTGCAGTCAGAACCTACCGCCGTCTCATGATCCACAAGATGGGTTTATAAATTCCAGCAATGAACACAGCCGTACTGGTTTCGGTCAACACTGGTATTCTCATGTCAAAGTTGATACACTTACCGGAGCACTATTGGACCTGACCGCTCTTCATATTCTTTGTTTTGGTGAGGCGGACTTATGTTTGGCTGACACGCACCATGACGAAAATGTTTACACTTACGTTTTCAAAAAAGGAGCGAGCTCGCTGTTGGTGTATTCTCAAGAAGCATGCTTCGAGTCGCCTACTGATCTGTCTCAAACCCATCTGTTCGCTCTGTGCGAAGGTTTAGGGTGCGAAGTACAATGTTGCGGGGCAGTCAACTCGAGGTTGTGTATATTGCAATCTGCAGTCGATGAAGACTGTTTTCGATTGATTTCAGCGAGTGTATTCGTGTGCTTTCATACTGATGATCATCGACCATGGAAGTATCTGTTCAATTTTTGGGGATGGTCCAGATACTTTGACGGCAAGGACGAAAGTTCTCAGTACATGCGGGTTGCGTACGATGATACGTCGTCTGCGGCTATCCCATTGCTCCGAAAAGAGTATGTTATCGAAGCGACCGGTGCAAGCCACTGGAATTATTGGAAACATGACCCCCAAGAGAAACACCGTCATCAAATACTGCCTATGAAGGAGCTATGTGGAGAGCTTGCTTCCATCACACAACGATTGAGAAGGAAATGGATCTCTGAAGACAGTTCATCGCAGGGCTGTCTGAAATTCCTAAATTTCGATGGCCAACTCTACACGCCTGTTTGGATAACCTTTGCGTTTCCAGGTGTAACAAACCCGAGAGACTATCTGCACATACTACATGCAGCATTCCTAGTCGAGAACGGTTTGGAAGGTTCTGTGGAATCATTCCTTAAGCTTTATTTTCGTCTCGTAGAGAGGTTCGAACCTAAACTACTTGAAGGTCTATCATCCACCAACAAAGAGACAAGGGCTATCATCGGTCCTGAGACACTAGTCGAACTGTGCTTCAAACCTCACCAGCAATCTATCATTCAAGATGTTGTCGATCTTGCGGGTTCATTTGGGTGAGTATCTCTCCGGTCATACGAGCACAATACCCATCACAACTAGGATATACTAACAAGTGGGAGGAAACTTAGAAAGGCTTCCCAGACGCTTCATCGCACTGACATCCATCCCTCATTTCTGGTAGTAGACAGGAGCGTCGTACCCCAAAGCCGCAGAATCTTTCGTCGCTTCACTCATCAACTAGCTTTGATGCCAGGAATGTCCCAGGCCAAGTGCAACCCTCGAATTTTCACTGCGGACGACTTTAGATCTTTCATTAACGAACCGTTTTCCACCATTCTCGAAATGGTGCATGATTCTGAACAACAAAATATTCGTATTGCATTCGATATAGGCTTTCTCATGATCTGGGCACAACTGCATCCGTGCACGGCGGCTTTCAGACGCCTGGCGCCATATTGTCGAAACGGAGAAAGCGCGTTGACATTATTCCTTAGAGATCCCACCCCTGAGGATGCAAATTTCGTTGTTCCATGTTGGCCAGATATCATTAATGACTGCTTTGGAATCAACAAGTCTGCGCGTCTAAGGAAAATCACTGTTTTTTGAGACGAGAAGAGTATAGACATTCAGTCCCTTAACGGCATTTGTCAGTCTAGAAACAAATGCCCTCATTTTGGGGTTTACCACAAACTTATAACTTTCGCCTTCTGTATGCTCAGCTTTTTTCTTCTGTCTATCTTCATATATTGTCAATGTGTTTACTTTGTGACTAAAGAACTATGCCGTGGCGCATCAAACTAAGTAGTACAAATGAGAGGGTTACGCTTCGTGATGTAGTGTTGCGGTCACCCCCGGGAGGAGACCACACGTACACCACCACATGTACTGCCTACGGATATTGCCAATCAGTCCAACTTCATGGAATCCGAACCGGACTGGGAACAGCTTCCAAAACCACACGGCAAAATTGGAAAGTAAGGGTTAATTTACATTTGAAACCCAGAGTCTTGGGTCGCCCTGGACGGGAACGTCGGTAAAGCTCCCGACAGATATTGCAATATCAGCCGGACCATCATCCTCCGTCGGTCCACCCAAAACGGCTCTCATAGGATCCTTCTCACCGTCCAGGTCAATCTAATTTGCCAAGACGTAGCAGCGAACCAACAAGCATAAATCAGTTAGCCAAACACAAAACAGACCGCAAGATCACGGTTGACCTGTTGCCGCCGTGGCGGTCTTGGCCGTCTGGTCATCTGGTCCAGACGTCCAACCCGTGCCGCCATCAACGGCTCCAGATTCCGACGCAGAGGCGAATAAGCGAGAGATACCAAGACCATGGGAGTCCTCACAACCCTTCATCTATATAAACTCATTTCCATCAAACCAGCATGATAATCGTCCCACATCTCCAACCACCCATCTCACACTCTCTTTCCGAAACGCTCCTTCATCCACTCTCACAATGAAGCTCCTCCTCCCCCTCCTCTCCGCCACCGCGGCCTCCGCCCACACAATCTTCTCCTCCCTCGAGGCCGGCGGCGTCAACAGCGGCGTCGGCGTCGGCGTCCGAGTCCCCTCCTACAACGGCCCCATCGAGGACGTCACCTCCTCTTCCATGGCCTGCAACGGCCCGCCCAACCCGACCACGCCCACCTCCAAAGTCATCACCGTCACCGCCGGCCAGTCCGTCACCGCCGTCTGGCGCTACATGCTCAACAGCGGCGGCTCCGCGCCCGCCGACATCATGGACTCCTCGCACAAGGGCCCCACCATCGCGTACCTCAAGAAGGTCTCCGACGCGACCACCGACACCGGCGTCGGCGGCGGCTGGTTCAAGATCCAGGAGGACGGCTTCAGCAACGGCGTCTGGGGGACTGAGAAGGTCATCAACGGCCAGGGCAAGCACACCATCAAGATCCCCGCGTGCATCGCCCCCGGGCAGTACCTGCTGCGCGCCGAGATGATTGCGCTGCACGGCGCCGGGAGCTACCCCGGCGCGCAGTTCTACATGGAGTGCGCGCAGATCAACGTCGTGGGCGGCACGGGGGCCAAGACGCCGGCCAACACGGTCAGCTTCCCTGGCGCGTACAAGGGCACCGACCCCGGTGTGACCATCAACATCTGTAAGTTGTCCGCGTTGAGGATCTGTAAGTTGGTTTGTGATGCTAACTGTGTTGTTTGCAGACTACCCCGTCGTTACGTCGTACACCATCCCGGGACCCCAGCTCTTTACCTGCTAGATGGCTCAGGCTTGGGAGATGAGATAGGAGAGGAGATGTCGTTGAGACCTCGCTCGCTCGTTTTGACTACCTTAGCTTCTTACACCAGGTCGTGTGACCCAACAAGAAAAAAATCCTGATGAGGACTACGCGGCTGTAACTTCTTGTATATAGTTAACACATCTGTCAATACACTTTAGTTCTGCTAGCGCAGAGTACTGCAACACGACTATCAGCATTACCTTGGGGTTTCCGAAATCCCATTCAACGGTCTCAACATATCAGACGCGGTCATTGAAACGACATTTCATAAGCGAAAAAGGACAGTCAATCAATATACTGCAAAGGTGTTCGGGCATACCATTAAGGATTAAGATGACGAGCATAAATGCTAGCGAGGATGATGATTACAACATAGTAAACAAATAGTACGCATGCGAGAGGAAGATAAAGCCAGTCTAAACAAGAGTAGGAGAAGAAAAAGAGAACAAAAGGTGGCAAGTGACGAAGTGCATATTCCAATAGTAAGGCCGAGAAAAAAAGACAAAAAGATTTTGACCAGCATGGGGGTCGAACCCACAATCTCCTGATTCCACGGTGTATCGTAGTCAGACGCCTTGCCATTGGGCCAACCGGCCAGACAATTCAGAACGCCTGAGGCGCCCGTCTGTGGGAGACGTGAGCGCAGAAACAGCTCATATGGCGCGGGCAGCGAGAGCGCAATGCCGCAGTTTGGTGCGCATGAACGCTCGGTCAGTTGCGCGGTTTGGCCAATGGCGCAAACCCAATTGCAAGCTTGGTGGGGGCGGGGGGTTTTGGGATGAAAAAATTTGTGCCCCGACTGGCGCGAAGGCTAAATGCCGCAGCCCCTCCCGATTTCGGCGGGGTTTGGGGTCGACTGTCGAGGAAGACG